AAAACAAATTTCGAGTCAGATCTTACAGAATGTGTTCAGTCACTGGAGACCGACACGTGGGATATTTCTCGATGTAAATTTTGAAATCAGATCTATTCTTTTTTTTTATCAAACACGATAGCAGAAAGAGTCTTACAAATCCACAGAGGTATTTCACTAACCTGCTTATGCAATATTACTAAAACAAGAGACAAGCGATGTTCTCATTACATCATGGACACTCTATATACGTGAATTTTAAAGTGCTTATTAGGAATCGTTGAAACGCGAAGATTAGTTTGGAAGATAATGGAGTGGTAATACACGTGGGGGGGGGGAGGTTAAGATATTGCCCAAATATGAGACCGTTTTTTATTAAAGACAGGCGAGAAGAAAAATTTTTGGTTAGCGAGCATTTCTTTATGGGAGAGGGGAGTATGTGGGGGGGAGAGGGGGTTTACATTAAAGTCGTTAATCCCCAGTCAGCAAAGGAAAAAAACCTATGCATTTCATAGAATCTGATTAGCATAAGCTGAGTAAGATTAGCGGGCCTCAGCCTTGATTTAGGGACTTTCTTTTCCGCGTGAACTGTTAATGTGTTCATTGGAAATGCGAAAAGCTTTGCTTAATTCCACTGCGGAGTTGGGGACGGAGAAGAAAAGAATCTGAATAGGCCGTGAGGATCAAAGGAAGGCGAAGGGAAACTGATTGACTTGCAGACGAGCTTCGAGGGCTAGAAGTAGTCAACAGCGGATTCGCGTCTTAGCTCTGAATCTTATGGCTGCATGAACAGTTTCATTCTTCTCCTCGGAACACCATAAAGTACTATGATGACTTAGGGACGTACGTCGGGCAGGCTCGAAAACTTTCTCGACCAAACTAGACACTAAACGTCTATCCTAGTCTTCCGAAACGCAGTCCCGTGTGGTTTCTGATGACTTCGTCCCTGAAGATAGAGGCAATATTTGTATTCGAAACACCTGTATCTACTTTCAAGTCCTCACGTCGTTACAACCCAGAAGATGAACAGCGACAAATTCTACACAAGACAATACAGTTTAGCGTTAAGTTATATGCGTATTTATTTCATTCTTACCACCTTACAGAAGCAAAATTTCCCTCTCGCACGTTTCGGAATATGTTGTTACAACTGTAAATCGTTAAAACACTTGAGGCGGACTAACCTACGGGCTTTTGATTCTTTTGTTTTCGTTGTTGCAACTGATTCAACTCACGCGTCGAAAATAGCTGCCGATGGCTCACACTAATGTAGTGTTTACATACATTTCACATCTTAGGACGTTAATCCAGCGTCATCTGTGACTGTACCCTCTTGTCATTTCTAAAGTCAACACAGAGGCTGTTTGCCCTGTTTCCGTCTTGTTATTTGTCAAACTTTTCTTTTTCCTTGAGCAGATTTCGTTAAGCGAAGACACAGAACGGTGGAGGGAAGGGAATTGAGCTAATTTAACAAAGGACGATGAAAACTCTCGCATTAATCACGATGTGAAGAGGGTTGAATGTGAAAAGAAAGAAAATTTTCACCTACTCATCAAATTGTACGTTAGAACCAGGAGCTGTAAGTCAACAATTATTTGAGCTTTGTGCCAAAAAAAAAAAAAAAAAAAAAAATATTAACGTCTCTGTTCCAGTTCTGCTGCATTCAGTGTTAAAATTTATCTAACACGTTTAATGTAGGCGTAGTGTTTAATAATAATTTATTTCGATGTCTAACTATAAATAGTTTCACTTTATTTCCATATTTCGTAAAAACATTTTCGTTGGTAAGCCTGAAGGGAAGAGGCCACTGGGAAAATTTCTGTATGCATGGAAAGATAATATTAAAGTGTAGTTCAGGGTAAGGCTGTGATTGGATTCATCTGGCTCAGGATAGAGACCACTGGCGGGCTTTTGTAAAAACGGTATTGCACATAACGTGCACGGAAATTACTGACTGAGCGTGCTATGAACTTCTTACGAAGGGCTCCGCCCCATGGGTTAGGCAGTTCGCCCCTGATGACAGGTAGACCAGCGAGAAAGTTCCGAGGAGCACTTTGGATATAAGTCGTTCATTCACTGAAAATTTGTGGTTTCTTCGGCGATTCCAAGCGAATGGTGAAATACTCACGTGCTAGACAGTTTTTTTTATAAATTTTTGTTTAACTCCTTAGCATAGTAATTGGTATTACGTAAAATCCAGAGATTTAAAAAGTTAACTTTTGAAAATAATGCAAAGTCACGCGCGATACGAGAGGAAAAAGGGAATAAAATCACTGACAGTTAAACTTGCCTGATGATTTCTTTCGCCATTTTTCACTGCGATCCAGACGATTGCACAGAAGCACCGCGGATACGCAAAGCCAAATACCGCGTTTGAGTAAACGTGGTTTAAAACTTAAAACCGCGCACGCGCGCCGTATAATTCTTCCGACAACTGTTTAAGTCTCGGTTCGTGTTTTCATAACAAACAGGGCATTAGCAGGGCAGTGTTCCAAATATGCGCTGTGCAATAACTTTCTTCAAATCTTACGCATAAACTTGTTGCCATTAAGCGAGCTCACCCCCCAACCCCCCCACGAATTCCGCAGTTCAAAACATCCCTTTCCTTCATCTGTGTTGTGGCTTTCGGGCTTTTTGCCAAAAACGGAATTCGAGGAGGAGAAGAATAAAAAGAAGATGAAGAAATCGCGCTTGTGTGTCGGCAGTTGTTTGCATGGAGCCATCCAGTGGCTGCGGTTGGCATGGAAACCCGACACCAAGTCGCGTTCCATCTTTTCTTTATTTTTCGGTATAAGGAAAGTCCACTTGGCAAACAGCACCCTGAAAAGGCAACAAAGGAAAACCATCAGTCTTCTCTTTCGTGGTTTGTTTGGGTAAATGGCTGCCAAGGGGAAGTAAAATACCCCCCTCCCACCTCCCACCTCCCCCTGAAGAGAAGTTCAAGATGTCGGAAAATCAACAGTGGCTTTTATTCTACAAACATTTTTGAACGCATACATAAGTCGAACTATCAGTGCGCTGGCAGAAAGCTGGGACCATGAGAATGAAATGTTATTCCAAGTCCTGGCGCTATCAAAAACCCCGAGAGAGAGAGAGAGAGAGAAAATATATATATAAGTCTTGATATATTATATTATTCCGCGTCTTCTGGGAATTCGGAATACGTAGCCTCTTTATCTCGTTATCTGCATAGGAATCTTTGCAACATTTCAATTAACCGGGGCTGAATCCTCATCTCGAGACTCGCGCTTTCACGATTT